TTTTTTTTTTTTTTTTTTTTTTTTTCTGTACGCCGGCCTCTCACTGCTGTGGCCTCTCCTGTTGCGGAGCACAGGTTCCGGATGCGCAGGCCCAGCTGCCATGGCTCACGGGCCCAGCCGCTCTGCGGCATGTGGGATCTTCCCGGACCGGGGCACGAACCCGCATCCCCTGCATCGGCAGGCGGACTCCCAACCACTGCGCCACCAGGGAAGCCCTAAAGTTTTTTTTTTAACTTTCTCTAACAAACCGTGTTGCAGCCCAGGGATGGAGGGTGGAGAAAGTGAATAGTACGCATCTCGGACCTGGGTAGTTGTAAGCAGGAAGGGAGTATCGTATCCAAGGGTCGAAACATAAGGAATAGGGGTTGAGGGGGTGATGGTGGTCCTGAAGCTTCTGGTTGTGCATCCAGACTGGGAAAGGAAGCCGGGGCAGTGATGGAAGGTGGAGTCAAGGGGCTGAAAGTCTTGAAAATGACAAAGTCCCGCTCTGCAAACAGGAGGGAGGGGGTAGGAGAGGTGAGGAGGGCTATGAGGAGGCGATGTGGCAGTGAAGAGTGAAGTTACACTGCCATTTTTTAAAAATCAACTTAATTGAGGTATCATTTGCATTCTATAAAATGCACCAATTTTAAGCGTGCAGTTTCAAGTGTTTTGATAAATGTAGCATTGTCCCACATAACTGTCAATCAAGATATGAAACATTTTCATCACCCCCCCAAACTTGCCTCCTGCCCCTCTGCAGTCAGCCCCCTTTGCAGCACCGGACCCAGGCAACCACGGATCTACTTTCTGTCACTGTAGGTTAGTTTTGCCTATTCTAGAATTTCACATAATGGAATTATATGGGGAATGTGTATCCATTCACTTGATGGTGGCCATTTGGGTTGCTAACACTTTGGGCTATTATTATTGAAACTCTTGTGAGCGTTCGTGTACAAGTCTGTGGGCATGTGTTTTCCCTGGACTGCCTTGGTTTTGATTTGGCTCCATTGCTTACCGACTGTTAGCTGTCGGGAAAGCTCCTCTCTGACACTCTGTAATCTATATTGGTAATGAACTTCTGCTTCTAAGGTCGTTGTGAATATCAGATGCAAATGCCTGCAAAGCTCTAAGAACCATGCCTGGACATAGTCAATGCGCCATAAATGGTAGATGTGGGTACCTTTTCCTGGGACCCTGCAGGAGACACCGCGTGGTAAAGGGCTTGTTTCATGGAAGGACTTGGAGTGCCTTAGGACGCAGACGTGGAAACCCACGAGACTTGGATGGACATCAGGTCCCAGGTCCCCATTTGGTTGAGTCAGTCCCTCTCGTGGTTCAGCCCCTTCTCCTAGATCATCCCTTCTGAGCTTTGTGATAGCGGAACATGGGCCCCACCATCTTCAGAGACCTGAAGTCCTAAGGGAAGAATCTATCTCCACGCTTTGTAAACTGTAAGGTATCTCACAAATGTAAAGTATTGCCGTGGTCTTGGCCCTGCGGATTATTCAATAACAATGCTGCTGTTGTCCTCAGAAAAGACTGGACTCTGTATATAAAAGGTTTGCCCAAAAGTTTAAAGCAAATTACCCGCAAACCCTGCTCCCACTGACTGAGAGCTTTTGCCCTTTAGAAAGGCTTTGCTGTGTGTGTGTGTGTGTGTGTGTGTGTGTGTGTGTGTGTGTGTGTGTGTGTGTGTGGCCCCTCCCCCCAGTCTGCAAATGCTCCTCAGGGAGTGGGGAGGGCCTGGAGTTTCTGGCTGTCCTTGGAAAGTTGATTTAATAAGGGTTCCAGGAAAACCAGCCTCCCTCCTTCCTCCCTCTCCTTTCCCTTC